TTTTTTTTTTTTTTTTTAAAGAGGGAATGTTGCTATGTCACCCTGGGTGGAATTCAATGGCATGATTTTAGTTCACTGTAACCTCAAATTTCTAGGCTAAAGCAATCCTCTACCTTGGCCTCTCAAAGCACTAGGATTATAGGCATGAGCCATCATGCTTGGCCCCAAGCATTCTTTTCTGTATGTGTACATATAAATAAATATATACACATAAATTCATGTAAATGGAATCAAATATGCTATGTTTTTTACTTTACAAATATTGTTGAAATCTTTCCATGTTAATGGGATATAGCATTCCATGGCACTGACATACTATAATGTTTTTAATCTAGTCTGCTAACAGTAAACATTTAAGTTGCCTCTAATCTTTTACTACTAAAATTAATGTTCCAGTGAACATCCTTGCCCATAAATCTTGGGTACAAAATGATTTGGATCTTCCTGTATCACATACCTGAATTAAGGTAGTATTAGTAAGGTAGTTCAACAAATGTCTACAGCCACAATCATCATCATGTAACAACATAAAGGTGTAAGACCCAAATAACTGAACATAGGTTAGATAGGCGAATGTCTGCCTTCATAGGCTTCAAACTCTGGGTTGTTCAAGAAACAGGTACTTATTAAACTCTAATGAAAAACTTGAACCTTATGAAGTTTCATTTTATTAAAATTTCAAATTTTTCACTTAAATAAACTGTGAGGTGTGTATTTCTATGTTTTTCTTTGGTGTAGTAAAGTAGTGTTTTGTGAGGTCTAGAGAGAATGCTCTATATTATAAAATGAAAATAGAACTTGAAAGGAAAATTGAATTTCTAATAAGAAAACAATTTCTAATAAGAATGAATGCAGACATTCATTCAACAAAGATGATGATTGTGGCTGGTAGGAATAGATAAATTTCTATTTCTAGACAGGCGGGGAGGTGGGAGGTCAGATCGAGGAAGGGTGAATGGTGGAATCACACCTATGGGGCATAATGCAAGGGTACTTGTAGGATTTATTACGTATAGAGTATAAATGTCTTAACACAATAATTAAGTAAATGAGATAAGGTTTATATTAACCAATGTGATGTAAACGCTCCTAATTCTATGTGAAATCAGTACATTGTACCCTATACATGCATTAATGCATACATGATCTATGCATTTATGATTTAATAAAATTTAAAAAAAATTTCTATTTCTAGGAAGATCACTTTGAGAGGACATAGTCTTTTTTTTTTTTTTTCTGAGACAGAGCCTCAAGCTATCCCCCTGGGTAGAGTGCTATGGCATCACAGCTCACAGCAACCTCCAACTCCTGGGCTCAAGTGAGTCTCCTGCCTCAGCCTCCCAAGTAGCTGGGGACCACAGGCGCCCACCACAATGCCCAGCTATTTTTTGGTTGCAGCTGTCATTGTTATTTGGCGGGCCTGGGCTGGATTTGAACCCACCACCTTAGCTGTATGTGGCTGGCACCTTAGCCACTTGAGCCACAGGCCCCGAGCTGAGAGGACATAGTCTATAGGAACATTTCTTTTTTTTCTTTTTCTTTTTCTTTTTTCTTTTTCTTTTTTGGAGACAAGAATCTCATAGCTCACAGCAACCTCCAACTTGGGCTCAAGTGATCCTCTTGCCTCAGTTTTTCTATTTTTAGTAGAGACGGGGGTCTCACTTTTTTGCTCAGGCTGGTCTGGAACTTGTGAGCTCAAGTAATCCACTCACCTCAGCCTCCCAGAGTGCTAATATTACAGGCGCGAGCCACTGTGCCCGGCCTACAGGAGCATTTCTAATAGCAGCTGGGCTAGGTTTGTAGCCCAGTGCATTTCTGTGGCTTTGTTGTCATGTGATTCCATGTCAAAGTGGTGATGCCAGGATGCTACCTAAATTACCCAGTGCTTTGCAAATCTCAGTATGTTCAAAACCTTAATAGTCAACTGAAAACAGTATAGGCAATAAAACTACAGCATACAATTTCCAGATGGGCCCTACATTCTATTGGAAGAAATTTCAAGACTCTCAAATTGAAATTGCTTAATATTAAAAAAAAAAAAGAAGAAGAAAGAAAAGAAACCAGAAAGCTTTGCTGAATTGGACTCATGTAAAATTTGGTTTTGAAAAACTCAAAACACAAGAAGGCAGTATTAGTTCTAATTTGAGGGTAAGACAGCCCGAAGTTTACCATCCTAACTCTGTCACTGAACTCTTGGACAAGTTCCTTCACTCTTCCCAAGCCTATTACTTCATTTGTAAATTGAGAGTGACAATTGAGATCACGCATTAAAAGCACTCAGCACAGTTTTTGGCACATTGTAAGCACTCAGTAAATATTACTAATGTTGACTTTTAGGCAAGAATGAGTGATGGATGTGTTTCTATGTAACAGAGAATATAGAGGAAAAAGAATACAGAGGAAACACTCCCAAGAATGATTACTGCCTGGTTTGGTGACAAATGTCAGGATATGTGTGCTGGGGTAGGGCAAATTCATGCTGACTCTTTGCTTTAGCCATTAACACTGCTCCTTTTAGAAGCCAAGATGTGAAATTGTTCATCTCAAAAAGCTACTTCTTATAGCCCTGAACTTCTACATTTTCTTTTAAGGGTCAGTTGTATATCAGAATCATATTACCTCATGACTGAAACTTGGGAATTAAAGATGATTCATGGAAAGGAAAATTTAAAAGTCAGAGGGTATTTAAATGAAAATCAACTAGAGTATGGTTTGATCTTACTTTGTTTTGTGTTTTGTAATTGTGTAAAAAATTAGAACTATATAGGAGAGAATCTTACATGTCTCTGTAGTCCGGTGAGGCAACATTTATCGAATCTGTGGAAATACCAAAATGATAGAAAATTAATTATATAGTACTTGAAGATAAAAGAACTATTTTGAAAGTGTGACCATTACTGTGAGAGCCTCATTGAATAACTAGCCTACCATGTCAACATTATCACCATCCCACCCCCTCTGAAATCCTTTCCTAACCAGTCCAGCACACAGTGATCTCCCTCTAGGACCCATAAGCTTACTGATCCCTTTGGCCTCAAAAAAGCATTGAGGCAGTTGCTTAATTCGAAAGGCAGTGACAAGGGCTCTCCTCAGTGGGGTCTGGGCAGGTGCTCCAGAGGGAGATCTAGAATGCATGTGCTACTCAGTGAGCTAATAACTTTTCCAGTGACTATCCTGCAGCATGAAATGGTATTTTGATATTGGCTATGTTTTAGCATTAAAGAATAAGTGGATTGGGGTGGGGAATAAGCACCTCAGCCTGAGCTCCCCAAAGAATTAAAAGTTGCAAAAATGTCCTTGAGGGAATGAATAGCAAAAATCTTAACAAATATAACAGGGAAATTTCATAGTGCCCATGTTGGATGGAAGTGAGAACTGTAGACAGAGATGATTTACCTGAGCCCAGATGAGGAAATTGATGGGAGAAATAAAGGAATTTGGGCGGCACCTGTGGCTCAGTGAGTAGGGTGCTAGCCCCATATACCAAGGGTGGTGGGTTCAAACCTGGCCCCGGCCAAACTGCAACAAAAAAATAGCCGGGCGTTGTGGCAGGCACCTGTAGTCCCAGCTACTCAGGAGGCTGAGGCAATAGAATCACCTAAGCCCAAGAGCTGGAGGTTGCTGTGAGCTGTAACGCCACAGTACTCTACTGAGGGCGACAAAGTGAGACTCTGTCTCTAAAAATAAAATTAAAAAAAAAAATTTCTAAGGCTGTAGGTATAGCAGTTTTATTGTTTTTGTACAATATTGAGACTTTCAATTTAGTAGGTGTTCTGCTGTATGTTGAATAATAATGATGGTAACTAACATACAAAATCTTAACTATTTGCTGGGCCTGTTTCCTCTGGTCAGTAAAGTGATCTTGGATTTAGACAGAGTCATTAATAGTGGAGGTGGGGATGGGTGTTTATCTTTTTTTTTGTGCTTGACAATAAATGTATCATGGATGGGAAAGCAGCTTCTCTAGTCCTCCTTATACAGTGGAAGGTATGAAGAAATAATCTATAAGTGAAAAGCAAAAGTCTTAACTGGCTTCCTTTGTGCAACCTCTGAACCAGCTCTAAAGGTGTCCTCTGTTTCAGGCATCAGAAGTGGAGAGACAACTCTCCATGCAGGTCCACGCCCTCAGAGAAGACTTTCGTGAGAAAAACTCGTCAACCAACCAGCACATCATCAGGCTGGAGAGCCTTCAGGCTGAGGTGAGCCTCCTGGTGTAGCAGTGCAGGGAGGTGGAAGAGTGCTTTTCTCATTGGAGGCATTACATGGGTCTTTTGGATAAGGAGCCCTCTGAATTATGAAACAAAAACCTGCTTTATAGAAAAAGGACTAAAATATCTAAGAAAGACATTTCTGTGAGAAACTAAATGGGGAATACTTCATCTATGTTTCTCTGGGTAGCCTGCTGTCTAAAAAACTAAAGTTGCTCAGAGTTACTGCTAAGTGTGTTGAAATCGTTAGTGAACTACATTTTACTGAATATGTTGATCTCTCCCCCAGAATCCTTCCCAGTCCCACATACAAGGCAGAGAAGGGCATCTTCCCTTTCTCCATTCCGTTTAGGTCTAGTTCAGTCCATCTGAATAGGATCTACTATTATTCTCTTGTGTAAAAGTAGAAGTTCCTGCTTCTTGGATTTTTTAAGTATTGGATGGGTTACTATATGAAAAGTGCCTTATGTGGTACCTGGAATATATTAATGTTATTGAAAGTATAAGAGAGGCCAGAACATGGCAGCCAAGGTTTACATGGGCCAGGAAGGAAAGACAGTAGCACTTGTGGAACTTTTGGAACACTCCCGTGAGAATCAAGTTACATGAGGTAAGGAGAGGACAAGGGTCTTATCACCAGCCCAAAAAGGGCCTCCCCCTGGAAAGGCTTTCACTTGATCTGTTCTTGAGGCCTCCTTAACCAAGTATATGTACAGCAGCCCTTCAGCTAAGTCACAGTTGGACAGACACTCTAGGGCCAGACTGAAGGTGCACCCTCCACAATGGTTAAGGAATGACCCATCGTGGTCAGACCAGAGAAACCCCAATAGGCTGCTGTTTTATAGGTGATGTAAGTATGTTTTTCCTAAAGTCTGTCAATATCTTTTTCCTGCCTCCTATTCCCTTCTTTTCTTCTTTCCTTTGGAATTCCTACTGGTATTGAGCAGCAGATTCTCGAAGTAAGTAGAGTTTATTCTGGTTGGGTTTGGCATGCCTGTCTGTGACCATTGTGTGCATGACTTGCCATTCAGCTGCTTCTCCCAGGCTCTGACTCCTCCAAGATGTCTGTCTTCTTCTTTCTCCCACCTATTCACTTTTTCTAGACCTTTGTGAACACAGTCATTCCTAGGGATGTTTACTGCCTGATTTGGTCTCAAGTTTTAGGGTGGGGCAGGGCAGCCTCATGCTGGGCTCCTTGCTTCATCCATCAATACTTTTAAAAGCCAAGCAATAAAATTACTCATTTTAGATAAGTTACTTCTTACAGCTTCTACTGACCCCTTACATTTTTTTAACATTTGGATAATTCATTTGCATATCAGAATCACATTACTTCACTGACTGAAACTTGGGAAACAAAGATGATTCATAGGAAGGAAAATTTAAAGGTCAGAGGGTATTTAAATAAAAATCAACTGGAGTAAGAATTCTCTAATTCAGTGAAGGAAATAGTGGGCCCATTCACAAAATGGGCTTACTCCTATTGATCCCTTACCCAGGTGCACACCTAAGAGACAGTATTTCTTTGTCTGGCCAGATACCTGATCTGTCTGCACAAAGGCCATGTACTTCATTTGCCCAGGATGGTGTCCTATCTGATTGATTGGTGGCCAGAGAAGATCTGTGCCCTGTGAGCGGAATTCTAGTGTGGAGAGTGAGAACAGCTAAAAACCAAAGAGAAAGATGGCTCTCAGAGGACTTGAAGCAAGTTAGACATTCATTTCAGAATCTCCCCTGGAAAAGTTCTGAGGTTGATCCCCAAAACTTGTCCTGCTCCTTCCCAGTACACAGGCTGATGTAGGCACTGCTTTTTCTGTGCCCTGATAGCCCTTCCATTCACTCAGGGCACTAGGTTGAGTTGTGACCTCTAGTGCCAGAGGAGTGGGCAGAGGTGAGCCCTTCTGGGAGATTCTGAGATTCTGGAAATATTGTGGCTCCAGGGGATTTCTCGGGTATTTTATCCTGTCATGACTTAGAAGGAAATGTAGTATGTCAGGTTAGGTTCTACTCCCAACCCCCGCTAATTGTAGGTTGAGGTAAAACTGAGGGCAGGCAAGGTGGGGCCCTTCTCTGTCTTATCTCTGGAATTTTCAGAGCTCTAGCCTTCCCTTCCTCTGCCTGGCATCCCACATTCCAGCCTCCCCAAAGCTCAACTCCCACCCCTTCTCGGACAGGTTTCTAGAAAGGAGGAGTTTTCCCTTCAGCTTAGGATTTCACAGCTGTTCTCTCAGAGATGGAGACAGAACACTGAGAGACAGGTGCCTTCATGTTTTAGGACTAGTCCCTCCTTCCACTTGTCAGCCCGAGTCTAACTCCACACCATCCTTGTGGCTCTCCACCCTTTCAGATCAAGATGCTGTCAGATCGGAAACGGGAGCTGGAGCATCGTCTCAGTGCCACCTTAGAGGAAAATGACCTGCTCCAAGGGACCGTGGAAGAGCTGCAGGACCGGGTGCTGATCCTAGAAAGGCAGGGCCATGACAAAGACCTACAGGTACTGGGCCAGAGAAGCTGTCCTACATGATGAGGGCCAGATAAAAGGAGGATCTTAGCCACTTAACCAGGAAGAAAAGGCTGGGAGGCCTGCATTACCACTGAAGTCTGCAGAGAGTGGGTGGCACTGAGGTCTCATATGGGCCCTGTTGTAATTCCTCTAGGCACTCACTCACTTGGCCCTTCTGGCTCTTCCCAGAGAAAATACCTCACTACCCACAGGTCATCCCTCCAGTGTGTTCTGAGCCACTGGCCCCTGGAGCAGTTTCACAGAGTTCTTTCTGGGCTATTAACATGGCTGTTTTTCTGGTCTCTTAGCATTTGTGAAGTCTGCTGGAAGATTTCAGAGGGAGCCTATAACTCTCTGTACTTGGCTTAATGCTCTCTGCTGCTGCTTTCTTTTTTTTCTTTTTTGCTGCTTTCTTGAGTTGATGGATTTAGTTGGCTGGTGCAAAGCAGAAACCAAGAAGCTGCCCATTGAACACAGCAAGACATATCCTGCTTCTGCCAGTTGCCAGAAAGGCACAGGCTGACCCTCTTTGTGAGCCTAATTAGTCTTTTTTTTTTCCTTTCTGAAGGAAATTGCTTTATGTCCATATTTGTCTTTATTTGGGAACTGCCACCAGGTCCTAGCTGAATCCCTAAGCTCAAGCTTGACAATAAACAACTCCTAAAACAAAAAGATAACCACAAAAGCCCCATCACTACCACCACAGAAATAGAGTACAGCATCTGCTACCAAGATGTTTGCTGGGCTGGCCTGGGAGCATCTGAGGCCAGAGACTAGGAGTACATTGCTTCCCTCTGTGCATCCTCTGACCACAATGGGAGTAGGTGGCAGCAGTGACATGTATTTGTGTGGAAATGGTTAGCCAGTTATACTCTAGCACCCAGTGGATCTCTACCCAAAATCTAGGCTGCAGAAGGTCCCAGTGGGCTCTTGTAGGCTGTATGAATGTGTTGGGGTGTGGGACAGAGAAACTGCATTTTAGGCTAAGATCACTTGTCACTGACACCTTTAACTAAGCTTATATCTAAGTGATAAACCTCTTTGATGGGTAATTAGCAGCTTTTCTCATATGTTTTTTGTACCTTCAGCTGATAGCATTTCATGTAGTAAGGCCTCAGTAAATGGTGAATACGAAATGGTGTTGGCTCAGCACCTGTAGCTCAGCACCTAGGGTGCCTGACACATATACCGGGTATGGTGGGTTCAAATCCGGCCAGGGCCTGCTAAACAATGGCAACTACAACAAAAAAAAATAGCTGGGTGTTGTGGTGGGTGCCTGTAGTCCCAGCTACTTGGAAGGCTGAGGCAAGAGAATCGCTTAAGTAAGTCCAAGAGTTTGAGGTTGCTGTGAGCTGTGATGCCACGGCACTCTGCTGAAGGCAACATAACGAAACTATCTCCTAAAAAAAAAAAAAGGCACCTATAGTCCCAGCTACTTGGGAGGCTGAGTCAAGAGAATCGCCTAAGCCCAAGAGCTGGAGGTAGCTTTGAGCTGTGATGCCATAGCACTCTACCGAGGGCGACAAAAACTCTGTCCTTTAAAAAAAAAAAGAAAAGAAAAGAAAATGCTGCTGGTTAAACCTTCATAGCAGTTTTCAAAGTGGAACGGAGTTTGTTCGGTTTTCAAGGTTGATGATAATAGCAGTGAACATTTGTATGCTCCTTTACAGGGGATGGAATGCTTTCACATACATTATAAAGTTAACTGTTTATCCAAGTCATGTAGTAAGTCCCTGGTAGAGTCGAGACCAGACCTTCCTGTCTGCTTTGCCTATTGCAAGATGATAAATTCTTGGGTATGACTTGTTTCTAAAACTCAAAGTTTGGCCAGTGTTATTACCTTATCACATACTCTCTTGCGGTTTGTGAGATAGAGTATGGAGAGAAGAAAGACAAGAAGTACAGAAAAATAGAAAAACAGCCCTTGCCAAAAGAAACTTTCATTCTAGCATGAATTCACAAATGAAAAGTCTTGTTTCAAAGCAAGAATTGGGGACCTCGGGCAGTGCCTGTGGCTCAAGGAATAGGGCACCGGCCCCATATACCAGAGGTGGCGGGTTCAAACCCACCCCTGGCCAAAAACTGCAAAAAAAAAAAAAAAGAATTGGGGACCTGGGGATGAGGAGATAGGTGGGGACTTGGTGGACTGTTGCTGCCTGACCAGCATAGTGCCTGCATGATCCTCAGGAACCAGAGCCACAAGTCATCCCTTATGTACATGCTCATCACCTGCATGTCCGCTGTCCTCTGATTGGAATTCTTCACAAATGAGAGGGTGTCACTCATCTGAAGACCCACAGCAAGTCTGGCTGTTCTTTCATTTGGAAAATCTGTATTTATAGGCTGAATTCATGTCTTTCCTAACTATTTATATTTCTTTTCCTTCTGTTGATGTGAAATTTCTCTTAGGTTGCAGATAATTACAGTGTCTTCCAGAAAGCCCCTTCTGTTGATAAAATGGCCTGTACTAATACAGAAATAAGAATTCTTGCTGTTAAAAACATATTTTTAAATCATTAATCAACTCTTTTTGTTTTTTGGAGTTCTTGGCCGGGGCCAGGCCTGACCCCGCCACCTCCATCATATGGGGCTGCTAGTGCCCGCCTCCTTTGAGCCATAGGTACCACCCCCCTTTTTTTTTGTAGAGACAGTCTCAACTTTGTAGCCCTCGGTAGAGTAGGTACAGTGCCATGGCCTCACACAGCTCATAGCAACCTCCATCTCCTGGGCTTAGGCGATTCTCTTGCCTCAGCCTCCTGAGTAGCTGGAACTATAGGCGCCTACCACAATGCCTGGCTATTTTTGCAGTTTGGCCGGGGCTGGGTTTAAACCTGCCACCCTTGGTGTATGGGGCCAGCACCCTACCCACTGAGCCACAGGCAACACCCCATTAATCAAATCTTGACTCTGATTTTTTTTCAGACCTGAGGGCTAAAAATTGTTACATAATTATTGAGCACCTGATGTGTATCAAGTGCTTTGCTGAACTTTTAATACCCAGTAAAGGAAATTTATACATTTCCTCTGAGGACCACTTAACTGCCCAGTTTCAAACCCAGCTGTGTATTTTACAGATGTGTGCAGGGCCTCCTCTCAGCAAGTGAGCAGATTTCATCAGCAGAGCACAGGCCCCACTCACTGTGAGGCCTGGGAAGCAGGTGACCTGGAGTTCAGACCTTGCTCTGATGATGATCTTGTACCATTAGGTAAATCACTTAGCATCACATAGTCTCATTTCCCTTAGATGTGAAATGAAAAGAGCACCCCCACTTTTGCTCACATGAGTATTGTAAACTTGAACTTAGTATATGATACAAAAATGAAGCATTTAGCTTTATCCTTATTTATTACACATAAGTGTATACTTAGTTTCGTCTTTCTGACATAAAGGATGGTATTTCTTATATTATAGGGTTCTTATATTTAATAGACTCTTCTTTGTTTGGTTTGGCTTTTCTGCATTGTCTGTCCTGTTGGTTAATCAGTTATTGACCAGAGTGCAGACCTTTCTTGGTCTTTTGTTCTCTTGCTGTTACTTGCTGTTATAATTAATTAAGCAATTTTGAGTGTGCATGAGTAATTGAACTAATTTTGTCCAGTGTATAAGAACTTGCATTTGTCTGTGCTGAACTTCTCCTGCTGAGATGTGTGTGGAGTTGTCTAAAAAATAATTGTGAAGCATTTTGTTAATTTAATATGCTGTGTATAATTGTGCCAAATGCTTCTAAGGAATGTCTTTTTTGAAACCCTGATCTTTTTCTTTCTGAGTTTTCTTAAAATTGGGCTTAGAAGAGTTCCCACCAGGCCCACAGGCAGATATTGCTGATCCATGGGAACCATACAGAGCAAGATTGCCATTTCCTTTCCTTTTTTTGTGTGTGGTTTTTTGTTTTTTGGTGGGTTTTTTTGCTGTTTTTGGCCAGGGCTGGGTTTGAACCCACCACCTCTGGCATATGGGGCTGGTGCCCTACTCTTTTGAGCCACAGGCGCCGGCCCCATTTCCTTTTTTATTCTCTGAGTAACCAGGTTCCAAACCCTTCCTACCCCGAAAATAAGACATTGTCTTATATTTATTTTTTTCTCAAGAAGACACACTAGGGTTTATTTTCAGGGAATGTCTTATTTTTATTGAGTATAATACAACAATCTACATTTATTCAAATACAGTTAAGTCATCATCTTCTGGAACCTGACAGGGGGAGCCAACCTTGTTGGTGGGGCTGGCCCTAGTGATATGTGAACTCCTTTCCCCGAGCCGTTCACACGTGCGCAATAGGATGCCTGCAACTGGGGTTACCACCCGCACACCCACGCAAGTGCGAATGGCTTAGAGAAAGGAGCTTTGGCAGATAAAAGGTATTTCAGTCTTCCTTACTGCTCTGTGCCAAAATGCATAGTGTGGCTATGAAGATATGCTGCATAGCCATGCCCATCACTAGGTCTTATTATCAGGGTAGGGCTTATATTTAACAAATGCATATAAATCCTGCTAGGGTTTATTTTTTGGGTAGGTCTTATTTTGGGGGAAACATGGTAATTAGGGCTATTCCAGATCACTGGTACTATTAGCCAACCATTTTCTAGTACTAAATGGTGAAGGTGAGGCTCCCAGGGCACCTGAAGGATTAGCTAAAAGCTCTGCAAGGCAGCTTATTCCCTTCATGAGAACTGTAGAGCTCTGAATTGCTTTCAGCCACCCCATAGTATGCATCTCTGCAGAAGCCACAAGCTGACTTGGCCAAGAGTCTGTAAAAGACCAGTGTCAATTCTCTTTTTAGTGTAAAGAAGGGACTCCAGAAATACTACTTAATAGAAGAATAAATTATTTAAATTTAAACCCCAGGAACTTCTTCTCCCACCCAACCCGCCAGAAATGTTTTAAAGGAGGGGAGAGCACAGTGCACAAACATGAAGAATAGGAAATGCCGCTCTTGTGTATGTGGCATGTGGCCATGTGCCTAGCGGCTAGCAGACCAAGGCAGTTCTACAATTAGAGTCTTCTGTGTTACAAGCAAATTAGTGATGAGGTGCATGGATAAGAGACTAGCATCTATCAGTCATACTTGGGTTATTCCCTTATATCTGGCAGTAGTAACCTCTCCAGAGAGTGGTGTACTGTTGTTTCCACATGGAAAGACCTTAAGAGAATGCAGACAGACAGGGTGAAATAGAGAAGGAGCCCTGCCCACAAGTTGTGATCCCTTCATTGCTGTCTCCTATCTACCCCTGGTATCACTCCCATCCTCTGAGCCTCAGTTTTATGCTGAAATGGTTGGACTCACTGATCTCTGTGGCCCTGCCAGCTGTAAAAATGTAGGCTTATGTGAAAATCTCTGTGATCACTAAAAATCAAGAGAGACAGTCTATAGGAGAAGTCTAAAGAGTATATAATATATACTAATAAAACATTTGGCTTCCAGAGTAGAGATTGTTTGAGGAACTATTGAAAAGAATGTCTCTTAGTAATTAGCTCTTTCCAGTCTTCTGAAAGGACTAAGAACATTTAACATATGGGATAGAGGACTTAGATTGTTAGACAAGGCAAAAAATATGTACATTTCTGCCCATGAGAGTTGTAACTTGAACTGTGGGACTTCTTGTTCAGAGATCCTTAAGATAGAGTAATATCTCATCTGTCTGAGATAAATAAGGTGAGGGGAGAGTGGAAAGCGTCCTGGACTTGGGAGTCATGAGTCCAGTTCTGCTTCACAAGGTTTTTGGGAAAGTCACTTTCACTGTGTCCACTACTTGATGTGGGACATGAGGAGCTAGCCATAAGGCCTTAGCTTTAAATTGTTAGCTCCTTTCCAAGTTCCCCCTTTTCCCCTTATTTAATACACAGATAGTAGGAATACAAATCTTAAGTGGATAGCCAATTAATTTTACAAATTTCCATATGAGTAACCACCATCTAGGTCAAGACATAGACCATTGTCAGCACTCCACAAGGAATACCACATCCTCAAAAGCAAACCTCAGGCTGACCACATCTGTAATTCTGAGCCAGAGTAAGACCACTTCTCTAAAAATAGCTGGGCATTATGGCAGGTGCCTGTAGTCTCAGCTGCTTGGGAGGCTGAGGCAAGAGAATTGCTTAAGCCTAAGAGTTTGAGGTTGCTGTGAGCTGTGACACTACAGCACTCTACACAGGGTGACAAAGTGAGACTCTGTCTCAAAAAAAAGCAAACTTCTATTTCAACTTTCATCTCTTTTATCTCAACGAGGTTTGGGAATGTCTTGAAAGTAGAAGCACATATTATATACTTTTTAGGTCTGTCTTTTGCTCAACATTATGTCTGTAAAATTTATCCATGCGATGGCATGTAGTAGCAGTATATTCTTTTTCGTTGTTTGTGTATTCCAGTATGTGAATATACCAGTTTATTTATCTGTTCTAATTTGATTGCTATTTGGATTGTTTCACATTTATGGCTTTTATTAACACCCTACATACGACATTGGCACACATTTTGTTTTTGTTGAGCCTACACCTAAGAGTGAAATTGCTGGATTGTGGGATAAGTATCTATTTAACTTAAATAACAAACAGTTTTCCAAAGCATTGATATATTTCCACTTCTGCCAGCAGTTGGAGTTGTAGTTGTCCCACATCCTTTTCAACCCTTGATATTATTATTATTATTATTTTGAGACAGAATCTCATTATGTTGCCCTCAGTAGAGTGCTGTGGTATCACAGCTCACAGTAACCTCTAACTCTTGGGCTTAAGCGATTCTCTTGCCTCAGCCTCCCAAGCAGCTCAGACCACAAGTGCCCACCACAATGCCCGGCTATTTTTGTTGCAGTTGTCAGTGTTGGTTAGCTGTCCCAGGCCATGTTCTAACCAGCCAACTTTGGTGTATGTGGCTGGTGCCATAACCACTGTGCTACGGACACCAAGCCAATATTATTATTATTATTATTAAAGCTATTTATTTATGTTAGCCATCTTGCTGAGAGTCTAATTATATCACTTTGTATGCCTGTGTAATTTTTTATTATGGAGGGTTTCAAACAGACCCAACAGTGAAATAGGGTGACAAAGCCCCCAGTGCCCCATTGTTCTGCTCTAAGACCGCTAATCTTGCCCCTTCTTCATAATATCCATTTCTTCTCTCATGTTATTTTGAGACACCTGGGATAGAGTGCCATGGCATCCTAGCTTACAGCAATCTCAAACTCTTGAGCTCAAGAGATCCTCTTGTCTCAGCCTCCTAATTAACTGGGACTATAGGCACCTGTCAAAACACCTGGCTAACTTTTTCTTTTCTTTTGTTTTCTTTTTTTTTTTTTAAGTAGAGATGGGCTCTTGCTCTTATTCAGGCTGGTCTCAAAGTCCTGTGCTCGGGTGATTCACTTGCCTCAGCCTCCCAGAGTGCTAAGATTACAGATGTGAGCCATCACAGCTGGCTCAAAGCTAAGAATTTTAATAACTAAAAAGCACTACCTCTAAAAGATAAGAACCTTAGAAAAATAGAACCATGGAATTACTTTTTTTTTAATAGCATCTCACTCTGTCACCCAGGCTAAAGTGCAGTGGTGTGTGTGATCATAGCTTATAGCAACCTCCAACTCACAGGTTCAAGTGATCCTCCTATTTCAGCCTCTTTAGGAGCTAGGACTATAGGTGTGAGCCACTGCACCTAGCCAGACAGTGTTATTATAACAGAAAAATTTAGCAATCTTAATATCACCAAATATCCAATGAGTGTTCAAATTTTTATTTGTCTTGTAAAAATCATAATTTTTTTACGTCTTTGTTTGAATCAACATGCAAATTAAATACATCTACACATTGCAATTGGTTAATATGTTTCTTAAGTCTTTTTTTTTTTTTGAGACAAGAGCCTCCAGCTATCCCCCTGGGTAGAGTGCTGTGGCCTTACAGCTCACAGCAACCTCCAACTCCTGGGCTCAAGCGAGTCTCCTGCCTCCGCCTCCTGAGTAGCTGGGACTACAGGCGCCCACCACAACGCCTGGCTATTTTTTGGTTGCAGCCATCATTGTTATTTGGCGGGCCCGGGCTGGATTCGAACCCGCCAACTTGGGTGTACGTGGCTGGCACCTTAGCCACTTGAGCCACAGGCCGAGCCAGCCTTAAGTCTTTTTTTTAATCTTTAAATTCCTCCTTTATCTTTTTTTTCCTTGAAATTTATCTGCTAAATAAATGGAGTTGTTTGTCCTATAGAATTTCCCAGATCTGGATTTTGTTGATTGTAGCCCCTGAGGTAGCCTAAAATGTTCCTCTCTGTTCTGTATTTTTCTATAAATTGATGGTTAAATGTAGAAGCACGATCAGGTTCAGAGTTAGTTTGTCCTGGTTTTGGTTTCTGGCAAGCCTCACTACCATTTGCTCTTTCTTTGAAAGCTTCACCAAAGCCAGCTGGAGCTCCAGGAGGTGCGCCTCTCCTACCGGCAGTTGCAGGTGAAGGTGGAAGAACTCACTGAGGAGAGGAGTCTGCAGAGCTCTGCTGCCACCAGCACATCCCTTCTGTCAGAGATTGAGCAAAGCATGGAGGCCGAGGAGCTAGAGCAAGAGAGAGAACAGGTGCTGACCTCCCTGTCACCCGGCAGGCAAGGCTTGGGGGTTCTTGGGACCAAATAGCACTCAGCTGTCAGCCAGGCAGGAGCTGTGGCTCTCTACCAGCCCCTTAATCTGGTGGCTGGAGTGTCATGAAGCAGGCCCAGACTGAGGCATGTCCCTGGCCCTCCATTTTCCACCCACCTTATCTATCAAGGCATTGAACAGAACTGCCAGAGGATAGAGGTATTTGAGGCAGAGCCAAGTCCCACTCACTATTCCCCCAGCACCTCTTAGGAAATGCTTTTTGACTGATAGATCAGCCTCATGCCTTTTGTATAGGCAGAGTTCTAGAACATTCTCCCTCTTCACCTAAGTGGCTCTAATCTCCCTTTTCATTATACCCAGAATCACTCATTCCCCTAACCATTCCTTGACTCCCACCAAGGTTACTGATTTTATGAAGAAGTATATTGTGTGGCAAATGGGAGAGACTAGAGAGCAGGGAAAGAAGCATTTGGGTCTGTATAGGTGGACTAAGTCCAGAATAGGTATGGTTATTTCTTGGAACAGACTATCTAAAAAAAAAAACAGAGCATTAAAACTCTTCTCCTAGAACCGATGTCTTGTGTATCAGTATTTTGGAGTGAGGTACTAGAAAAAGATGGCCAAGTGGCAGTCTTCTCTATAGTCCATAATCAAGAATAATTCTCTGTGGGAACAGCTGAGACTGCAGCTCTGGGAAGCCTATTGCCAGGTTCGCTATCTCTGCTCACACCTTCGAGGAAATGACAGTGCCGACTCAGCCGTCTCCACAGACTCTTCAATGGATGAATCTTCAGAAACCTCATCTGCCAAGGATGTGCCAGCTGGCAGCTTACGCACTGCCCTCAACGAGCTCAAGAGACTGATACAGAGCATTGTGGATGGCATGGAGCCCACGGTAAGAGGCCAGTTTGAGAAGGTCCTGACCCTGTAGGGTATGGCTAGTGGGAGATTGGAACCTGCTGCAGAAGGTGATAGGTTAACCCTGGAACCCTATAAAATATCTGCAGGAATGTCTTCTAAGCCTCCTTACTGTTGGTGAGCACTGACTCCTGGTGATCAAACAGAGGGGCCAAGTGCTAGGGAAGGGAAGGTTCCAAAAGACACTGTACAAAAGGAGTTTTGTGCAGACAGTAGTGGTCTTGAGTGTAAAGGCTTTCTTTGGAAACTTTGAATATAAACATTTGTATCTAGGTTAAAAACTCCAAGTTATTATTCTGCTGCCCTTTGATCCTAGTGGTGGGATTGGTTATGAGTAGGTAAACTTAAGAGAGCTAAATTTTATAAATGAGCATAGAAAGTTTGGGACATTAGCTCCAAGGCTTTTAGAATTCCATATGTGGCCCACCTGTATAGGAGGAGAGGCATGTTCCCATGGGCATCCTTGCCAGACTGGCATTTTTTACAGCATTGTTACAGTTTCTCCCTGGGCTTACTCTCCACTCACACTCCCAGATGTCAAACTATTATCTATACTCAGGTTTTATCCTCCTAAAGAATAGTTGTGTCGGCCAGGCGTGGTGGCTCACACCTGTAGTCCTAGCGCTGTGGGAGGCTGAGGCTGGTGGACCATCCTGAGCTGGAGTGAGCCAGAGTGAGATCCCATCTCTACCAAAAAAAAAAAGCCGGGCATTGTGGTGGGTGCCTGTAGTCCTAGCTACTTGGGAGGCAAAGGGCAAGAGAGAATCACTAATGGAGGAAAAGAAAAAAATAAAAAAGTTGTGTCTTTCTGCCATCTGACCATGCTGTGTTATTAGTGAGATATGTTGTGAAGGCCTAATCATTGTAGGAGAAGGGAATCATCAGAGTATGCTGCACTGTTCATGCCACATGGCTCCCTTCTCCTGAAACAGAAATGAATAAAACATCTAGCTGTGTGCAGGAATTGAATGAGAACATTTCTTTCCCTAACTCCTTCTTTCTCTTTTCCCCTTGTCTTTCCTCTCCTTCCCTTTCTCCCTCTCCCATATCCCCAACTTTCTGTATCTCCCCCATCATCTTTCCCCAACCTCCCATCTCTCCCCATCCTTATGTCTCACTCCACCCTCATTGTCTGTCTCTACCCTCACTGTCTCTCTCTTTTGCTGTCAGAGCTCCCGGAGACTTGATGATGACTCCTTAGAAGAACAGATAAGGCAGACCAGTGAGGACTCAAGAGCCCTAAGGGAGCTCATGGAGGGAGAGAGGGGTAAACTGAGGCAAAGCCTAGAAGAGCTGCAGCAACTCCACAGCCAGGTGAGCACCCTCATCTCCAGTGCAGGGATGTGCTTTTGTCTCTAGCACTCTCAGGAGCCTTGCACATTTCTCTCCCACTTCTGCCTGAGAAGCAGTTCTCCCCTATCACATCCTCGGGCAGCAGTGACCTGAGGTTGAGGTAAGGTGGATGGATATCTTCAAGAAAAGAATCCAGTCCTATGGCAGAGGTAAGAACAGCTAGTCCTTCATTTTCTTCTCTGTAGAAGACAAACTTTCTACAGAGCCAAAAGTTAGTCTGCCTTATAGATTCTGATAGTTGAAAGTGCCACAGCTCTCAGGCCATTTTTGGATGTTTTCCCGGCTTGCTAGGCAAGGAAGTTTACAAACTAAGGAACACTTATACTTTACAGAACTGTTTTCCCTCTTTTTAAGTGCTATTACCTTTGTCAGCCTGTTTTTCAGCTTTAGAAGAACTTAACTGCTGCCCTCACTGTTACTTTCCTATTTGATCATGATTTCCTCTCTCTTGAGAACATTGAAGAAGGGCATTTATGTTCTGGTCTAAAAATTTTTAAAGGACTTAGGAGCACCCTCACCCAGAAAGGAGCTTCTAAATCCTATTCTAAGAGGTGAATAAAGGCTATTCCTTTTGACTGTGGTCATGTATAGAAGTTCTCTCCTTGGGAAAAGGGTAGGGCTGAGGGAACACCAGGCAAGTAGCATTTAAACCCTGTGCCCTCAGCCTGGCCTTGCCTTTCCTTGCCTAAAGATATTTATCCTTTTCTGCTACATAAGATTTCTGCAAGAGAAAATTCAAGCCTGGCTATCTCTTCAGTATTTCTTTCTTTTTTTTTGCAGTTTTTGGCCAGGGCTGGGTTTGAACCCGCCACCTCTGGCATGTGAGGCCGGCACCCTATTCCTTTGAGCCACAGGCTCCACCCCAGTATTTTTTACATTTAAAATATCTTGGAGATACTGGAGAAATAAGAGAAGGAAACTCCTGTCTTTTTCTTTGTCATCATATTAGTCTTCCTAATATTATTTTCTTTTCTTTTCTTTTTTTTTTTAGAGACAGTCTCACTTTGCCACCCTCGGTAGAGTACTGTGGTGTCACAGCTCACAGCAACCTCCAGCTCTTGGGCTTAGGCAATTCTCTTGCCTCAGCCTCCCAAGCAGCTAGGACTACAGGTGCCCACCACAACACCCGGCTATTTTTTTTGTTGTTGCAGTTTGACCAGGGCCTGGTTTAAACCCGCTACCTTCGGTATATGGGGCTGGCGCCCAACTCACTTGAGCCATAGGTGCCACCCAGTAATATTATTTTCTTTAAAAATATCAAGATATTCACATACAGCCATCACTGTGCTCTTTCTGCTGTGAGTGACCAGATAACAAGGATAGAAAGCTTGCTCCTGGCTAAACCCTGTAGTATGGGTTTGAGCAGCCAGAAATGTTCTCCTGCCTAAAACCTCAGCTCCTCAAGTGGTTGTTTGAGGTTCAGATTTAGGGACAGATTTTCCATATTGGAAGAACAAAATGCAGGAGAAAGATGTTTCTAAAATTTTTTTGAGGCTGGGTACAGTATGGTGGCTCATGCCTATAATCTTAGTACTCTTGGATATCAAGGAAAGTGGATTGCTTGAGTTCAAGATCAGCCTGTCTCTACCAAAAATAGAAAAATTAGTCAAGGCCAGGCACAGTGGCTTAAGCCTGTAGTCCTAGCACTCTGGGAGGCTGAGGTGGGTGGACCAGCCTGAGCAAGAGCGAGCCCCTGTCTATGAAAAATAGCTGGAAATTATGGCAGGCGCTTGTAGTCCCAGCTACAGGAGGCTGGGCAGAAGAATCTCTTGTGCCCAAGAATTTGAGGTTGCTGTGAGCTATGAAGCCACAACACTCTACTGAGGGCAACAAAATGAGGCTTTGTCTCCAAAAAAAGAAAAATTATCTGTGTTTGTGGCAGGAGCCTATAGTCCCAGCTACTCAGGAGGCTGAGGCAGAAGGATCGCTTGAGCCCAAGAGTTAAAGGTTACTGTGAGCTATGATGATGCCATTGGCACTCAATGCAGGGTGACAGAGTGAGACTCTGTCTCAAAACAAACTAAATAAAAATAAATAAAAGTTCTTTGAATTAATAAAAATTTTATTTTTAAGCCTAGTTAAATTCCTGTGGGGTACTTCTGCTTATCAGCTCTTTGTTTTTTTGGGTTTTTTGAGACAGTCTCACTACTTGCCCTCGGTAAAGTGCTGTGATATCACAGCTCACAGCAATCTCAAACTCTTGGGCTTAAGAGATTCTCTTGCTTCAGTCTCCTAAGTAGGTGGGACTACAGGCACCTGCCACAATGCCCAGCTATTTTTGTTGTTGTTATAGTTGTCGTTGTTTGGCAGGCCCAGGCTGTGTTCAAACCCGCCAGTTCTGTAGTATGTGGCTGGCACCCTAGCCACCAAGCTACAGGGGCCAAGCCCAGCTCTTTGTTAATAACTGGTTTTTTATTTTGTTGAGGTTTTGTTTGGTTTTGCTTCTCAAAATTATAAAACTAGAAAATCACCAGAGGGAATTCTTTCTTTCTTTCTTTAATTGAGGCAGAGTCTCACTATGTTGCCCTGGGTAGAGTACGGTGACATCACAGCTCGCAGCAACCTCCAACTCTTGGGCTTAAGCAATTCTCTTGCCTCAGCCTCCCAAGTAGCTGGGACTACATGCGCCTGTCACAACCCCCGGCTAGTTTTCTAGTTCTCGTTGTTTGGTAGTCCCGGGCTAGATTCGCATCCACCAGCTCCCATGTATGTGGGTTGGCACCCTAGCCACTGAGCTACAGGTGCCAAGTCCAGAGGGCATTATTTCATTCAGAAATATATAAGCAAAATATAGGTTGCTAAGAGTTTGTCATGGAACTATTTAAGAAACCATCTCCAGGCTCGGCGCCTATAGCTCAACTGGCTAAGGCGCCAGCCACATACACCTAAGGTGGCGGGTTCGTATCCCCAGCCCAGACCTGCCAAAACAACAATGACGGCTGCAACCAAAAAATAGCCGGGCGTTGTGGTGGGCGCCTGTGGTCCCAGCTACTTGGGA